TAATAAATATATGGAATGCAAGAATGAATGCAAACATAACAATAACAAAGATTTTAGTAATGTAACAGAAAAGCTTAAATGTCGATATAATACATAAATGAAAAATATAACTCATGTCGTTTATACGCATCTATTGACACCTTCTTTCCAACCACTTATCTCAACCATTCCTAACATAACTACAATTTCTGTAACAATATTAATATCCATTTTTATAATTATTTTGTATAAGATTAATTATGATGTGGTTTATGTATATTTGTTCTATAAAATTATTAATCCTAATAATTATAATAAAATATATAATTTATCAAAATAAAGTTACATTTTTAATATAAGGATAATTTTATTGTAAATTAGTTCATTTTTGAATCATACATAGGGAGTAGAATAATGAGAAAGAGAAAACAATTAGAATACATATATAATGAATATAATATATAGAAACCATCAGAATTATCAAGTAATATTTCCAGAAATAGAAAATGTAATATACTATATTATTCTGAGTAATTATATAAATAATCGTATAATTTGAAAAATCATTTGTTAAAAGTAAACATATAATATTGTAGGAGAATGAGATATATTATACTCTCTCTAATAACACTATATAAAACCTAAATATTTCTTATAGCATAATCAAATACAGTTAAATGTTAATTGATAAATTAATAAGATATTGTTACAAAATGAACTAATATCTTTCAAATCTTTATTATAAGGAATAGTAAATAATAAATAAAATAAATTTGAATATAGTAAAAATGAAATTTTAATACTCTTTAAAGTAAAGCATACACAAAATGTTGTGAAAAAGACGATATATTTTTAAAAAGATAATTCTAATCTAATTAAAGTGTTATAATTATATTATTATATTTCGTTATAAAAAATACATAATATATATACTTCATAATTTTCAGCTCAACATATTCAATACTATGAATTTTGAACATTCTTAACACTTAGAATTGCTTAATCCTCTAATATATATTCAAAGGTATATAATGCTTAATGTTTTCCTATTTGCCAAAATTATGAGAACGCTGAAATGTACTGGAATTATAATCGTTATTCAACTCCATACCTTTTGTATATAATTATAACTCCATATTTCTGCCATATGTAACGATTATAAAAGGACATCTCGATAATTTTTTATAATTTTTTATTTAATTATAGAATTTACTTTTCTAAGAACATTTGCAATACACAGAATCAAAGTGTTTATATATTTTATAAGAGGAATTAATATGCTTATATTTTTTATCTTGGCTATTTTTTCCATTTTTATAGTTAATTGTACTCATATATACTGAACAAATTTTAAATAAAGCTATAAATTTTCCTCTTCCATAAGCATTTACAATATATATAAATATGTAATATAGGAATTATATTTCAATATATAGTGTTTTAATATTACATAATTATTGACAAAGTAAAATCATATAGAATTATTAATAACTATGAATAACAAAAAAAATAATAGATATATGAAAACAACATTATATTTTTTTCAGACATGTTACAATGAGACAGATAATACAAGAACTCAATAATTTCCTTTGATATACAAGTAATAAATCAGATATATATTATTATATACATAACACTAATTAATTTTCGGATATAAATATAAAATATAAGAAAATACGTATTTATCAACCAAGTATTTCATGTACGTATACATAAATATATGTACTGTAAACACTAGAATTTATACTTTAGAAAAAAAATTCATGGCAATTATATGTCATCAAAAATGCTAAATTAGAAAATAAGATATTATTTAATGCACAAATCATATGTAGAAAATTCAATTATTACAGAAATTTTTTTTCATATATTAATAGGAAATTTATTATAAATATTTTTAATGGTTTTAATAAATTTAAAAAATATAATGTTTTACATTGTGTATAAAATTAATAACTGTTATACTAATAGTTATATTAATTAAAAATAATATTACAAATAAGTAGACATACCTTTATTTAAATTGTTTATTTTCTTCCTTATAATAAAATGTGCATTCTTTTTTTTGAAATTGAAAACAATAACAATGATATATATATATATATATATATAAATAGTATAAAGTATAAAAAATAGATGGTAATTTCATTATAATTTATAATCTGTGTAAATAACAAAGTATTTATCATTATATGAAACAAATATATAACAAGAACTTTTACTACAACTTTTGCAACGTTCCAGTAACACCACAATTATATAGTATATATAAATATAAAAAATTAGCCAATCTAACCTATATTCGAAGCTTTTTATCATATAATATATTTTTCTAGTATTTCTCATTGTTACAAAATAATATATGTAATGTAAAGTAAACATGTTGCATATATACCACAAAAAATAATCAGCTAAAAAATTAACAAATAAGAAATAAGACACAGTAATACACCCATATGTTCAACCGCACACATAATCCTGAATTATAATATCTTTTGGAATTATCATGTGTCTAATTTTTACTATATGCTTATGCATATTGTATCAATAAAAATATTATAATTTTAAAAAGAGCACTTATATAATAAATATATTCATTTCAAATTTATTATGGTATTACTAAAAAAAAAAAAATATTTTATCTTTTTCTTAGATGAATAATTATGTACAACAATAGTCATAATGCAGATATATGTAACTAATGTGTTTCTTTGTGTGTCCTCACCAAAAAAATTATATATTACTGTATTTTATATTAAATCTTCTCAATGATTCTATATCTTCAGTAATAGAATAATCTTCTATTTTATTTTTATCCATTATAATATTACGTTTTCTTTGAGGTTTCCCCAGTAAGGCTTTTTTTAACCAATACCCAAATGGTGTAAACTAAGGAAAATATATTATATGTACAACATATTACACGTACAATATTTGTAGATTCACTTAAAAATTAATATAATTTATTGTAATTTTATACATATTAATTTTTTATTGGCATTATTAATTACTTTGCACAGTATAATAGATAAAACTGTAATACCTATAACTAATGGAGCAATAACCATACTTTTAGGTGATGAAAAAGCTGAAGGGTCATCTGAAATACCTATAGTGGTGCTCGATTGCGGATCTCTAGAATACAAATTAGTATGTTCTAAATTTTCATATTTTAAATGTTCTCCACCTTCGTCTTCATAGGTTTTTCTTAATTGAACTTCCATATGTGGACCTTCTTGTGTCCCTCTTCTAAGTAATTCTTCTTCATGCTTGAGCTGTGGTACACGAACTGTATCTGGATGTAGCTCTATCTCTAGCTCTGGCACTGGGTCTGGTACTGGCACTGGCTCTAGATTTATATGTGATTGTGATTGTGATTGTGTTTGTGTCTGTGCATCTATTATTTGTACTTCTGTTTGTACGGACTTTCCATGATATCGTTGTCGTGCTGATAAACTACCTGTAATTTCTTCTGAATTGCATTTCCAATTAAGGATATCCATTTGTTCCTTACTCTTAAAATATTGTTTAAAAAATTTACAAGTATCCTCGCTATTACCTATATCATTACAACTGTTATGGCACTGTCTATATGTCATAACATATCCATCAAGATGTATCTGAAAATTACTGTTACATGAATTAATAGGTGAATTGAAATATTTTTTAAGCTCATCATAATCTTTCAAAAGATCAAATAAATTCTTAATATCCATAAAATTTTGCTTAGTCATATTATATTTATTATAATCACATATTTTCTTACCATCATCACTGTTTAGTAAAAATTTAAGTGTTTCCATATGAGTCGGAAATGAAATTCTATTAATTAAATTTTTATCTAATGCATCTCCTAACCAAAAATATAGGTAATGACAATCATCTTCACCGATTTTTCTTGCCTCATGTGCTTTATATATATAACATAATGCTTTAAGTATTTTGTTATAAGCATCGTTAAGCAACTGTGTACCTAGTAAACTTTCTTTTGCCAACTTATAATAATGAAAATTGTCACAGCCCACATCACCAATATCGAAAATAGTGTACTTTTTTTTTGAAGGTAAACTATTAAGTGCTTCGTCCTACGAATTTAAAGCAAAAGATAATATATAAATTTTTATTTATAAAAAAAATGAATTAATTAATTTAATGAGAAGCATGATATTTCAATATAGATAATAATTTATATTATATATAAAACTTACTCCTAAATCAACTCCCATTATTAACTAATGTCAAAAAGTGATAGTAGAGTAAAACAATTATGTATTTAACTATGCATTTACTAATACATTCTAAATTTACTAATAGTATTTATATTAAGTTATATAATACTATTCATAATTATTGATTATATTTATTGTTTTGTTTATTGTTGTAATATTTTATGATGCATAATTTCTATAATATTGTTTCCATAAAATAAGTATGCATGTTCTATTATGAGGTGTCTTATATAAAATTATAACTCTATGTATTTCATGATATTTATAATATAAGTACAAAATAAATTTTTTGTATTTTTTAATAATATATGCTATATCATAGTGTACATTAGTCCTATAATATATATATTCAATACACAATTTTTATAAAGTGTAATAGACACTACAGATTAAATTAAATATTAAGGATTTTTTTATTTTATACACAACAGGATTATTTGTTATATAATTGTATAATTTATATTAATGAAGATTTATTTGAATACCTTAATTAAACACTTATCACTATTTTTATCCACTGTATGAATTTAATAGATTCTTAAAAAAAAAAAATTTTCTTTGAACATATTAGGTTTTCCTTCATTTTCATACTATATTTACGAAGTACTATTTATATGTTATTGATATTGATAACAAAATTCTAATACTGTACAAGAAATAGTTTTCAAATTTTTTTTTGATTTATATATATAATAATTTTTTCATTATTGAAATATATATAAATTTTCTTTATTATAGGATACATAAAATGGATATTATATAAACCCATATAACTTTTTATATATATTTATTTTCCTTATTTAAAAAAACATACATTTTTATATAGAATTTAAAAAAAAAAAATTATATATATATATGGAGTTATTATTTCGTAACAAGAGTAATTATAACATTATACAAATACATTCTTACTTATGAAAAGCTAAGTATATTCAATAAAATATTACTTATATATGTCACATGTAATGATTTTATAATTAAGAATACATGAAAGAGTTTAATTAATACTAATAATTCTATGTGACGTATTGCATATTTTTTATATGATTTTATTAAGCGGTATCATAGCTATAATATAGTGATGTTATTTATACATAAGATGAACTCTAATCTGATTATTTACAACTTTCAACCTATATCACTAAAGCATATTTTATATAAAAATATGTGTAAAATTCGTAATTTCCTTAAATTTCGTGTATTTTTTAAAAAAACTTATCTATTATAAATCATTTATTCTATTGTTAATGGTTATTTATTTTCAACTAATAATAACGCATAAATGTACATATTAATTTATTATAATATATTGTGAAGTTACAATAACATATAATTTCATATTTAATGGACTCATTTTATCATGTGCACTGTAATTGAAGAAAAATATAATTAGGAAAAGGAAAAAGGTGTCTATATATGAACCTAATATACTATAACCTTTTCAAATGCAATTCTAACAACTCTGGAAAAAGGTAAATTAGAAAGGACATATTAGAATCCTATGCGCAAAATGTTTAGAAAAAATAACAAAAAATGATTTATAAAAATAATGATTAATATTTTTTAAATGCTTATATATTTCACATATTTTATTCTTTTATTATAAGATCGAATAAGTAGTAATATTGTCCTATATTTTTGAAAAAAATGTCTATTTTTTATATTTCCCTTTAATTTGTAGAATTTTTTTTATTGTTATTAATTTTCTATGGGCTCACACTCGTCCCATTCATTATAAATATTTTCAAGTTCCGCATTGCTAACAACTAATGTTTTTAGCGCATTTATCTTAATATATTATACAATATATATATATAATTTCCACACTTCTACTTTATTATTTGCAAAATAATATCAAAAAATTACAGAAATAAATACAAAATAAT